TGACTTTGGGCAGGCCCCTTTACATTGCGCAATGTGGAAGAGAAGTGTGATGGTGGATGGAAACTTGTCTTGAACCTAATTTCATGAGAAGCACTTAATATTTCATCATGACATTATGTTGTAGGCACTTGGTACATACCTTTTATTACCTCATGCAAGTATTTTGCTAAAAGGGGTTTGTTTTGTTTGTGGGTTTTGGTTTGTTTATTTGTTTGCTTGTTTTTTAGGGAGACAGGGTCTGGTTCTGTCACCAGGCTGGAATGCATTGGTGCAATCCTCACCCACTGCAGCCTTGAACTCCTGGCTTCAAGCAATCATCCCACCTCAGCCTCCTGAGTAGCTGGGAATACAGTTACATGCCACCATACCTGGTAAATTTTTAAATTTCTTTTCTTTTTAGAGATGGGGGTCTCACTAGATTGCCAAGATTGTCTCAGGTGGGGTTACAGGTGTGACCCACTTTAATCAGGCAAAAGATAACTTTTGAACACCAACTGAGGATGTTACTTATAATGAATCTTATCCTCATTCTCATTTACTTATTTGAATGGAGTTTCTTGAAATTTGTCTCACTACCATCTAGGATCCTTTTTCTTTCTCCAGCTGGGAGATTTTGTCTGGTTTGGAAACTGCAAGCCCTGTTCAGGAAAAGGGAAATGGGACTTCGCTATGTTGGTGACAAAAAGCCATTCCAGAGTTCTATGTGGACACAATATTTTGGAAGGCAAGATCAGTACAGGAAGTTCCATATGATTACAAAAGTAGTTGGGAGGGATCAAAGATGTGCTCCCAAGAATAACGAAATATGCTGCATCACAGAACCAATATGAGTTGGCAAAAAATATATTTTTTTTAATTAAAAAAAAAGGCGGAATTGAAGTATCTGAAAAGAAACTGTAAGAGAGACAGTCCTAGGTCTGGGGGATTGTCCTTAGGTGGAGTTTTGAAGATAAGCCAATGAAAATATAAATTTTTCCCTTTACAAAGAGCAGAGTTTTTACTTGGAAATGGGGATAGAACTACTCCATAAGGGTTAATAAGGTATTCATAAATCCCTGAATCCTAAGATCCCTTTGATCCAACAGAAAGATAGCAAGTCACAACAAAACTCTTCTTACCCAGAGAGACCAGGTTCCTGTAGTTTCCCAGTATCACACCCTTGGGCAGATTCCTTCTTGAGGGGTCAGTCCACTAAGTTCCGCTCTTCCCAGACAAAGTCTACCATCTCGTTCTTGAATGTCACTGATTCCGAAGAATTCCACAACACATTGTGATGATACAAATCTATTTATTACCTGCCCAATGGGAGGAAAAATACATGTATTATTGAAAGGAATATTCATGTAAACACAAAATCGTTATGTGGAAGGGAGCTTGCAGGTCATGAGGTCAAATTCCCAAGACAATATTTAAAAATTCTAAGCAAGGAGTCAGCTAATGTCTGCCTGCACTTCTCCAAGAACTCAAATTCATTGTTTCGCAAGGCAGCCTACTCTATCTTCCAAAGAAGTTAGTTGTTAGCATAAAGTTTTACAGTCTAAATCAAAATCTACCTTCAAGTAAGTTTTAACCATTGGTTTATTATTTGGAGCCAAAAAGCATTAGTTTCTGCCTTCACAGAATAGTTCTTTAACAGTTTTAAAATTATTAAATATATAATGCACACAAAAATGTCCATAATAAATATCACTACAAGTTGAACAACAGTGTACTCCTCCCAATAAGAAAACATTCCCAATACCTTTGAAGTCACCTGTGTGTCTGTCTTTCCTGGATTTTATCCCTGTAGAAGTAATAATCTACCCTAAATGTTGGGTTAAACGTTTCTTTGTGTGTTTTTTTTATAGTTTAACCAAATGTGTATGTATCTCTAAACAATATACTGCTTAGTTTTGCCTCAATTTGGATATTATATAAGTAAATTATATTAAATATATTCTTATGCTGGGCACAGTGGCTCATGCCTGTAATTGTTACCACCTTCTAACTGCACTGTTATGGCTTGTTAGTCCACTCTGTGCTGTCACATAATTGCCGGCACTTTGACTCCTGTAGCCTCCTTGGTCTCCATGTGCTTGCTAACACATCCTACATTGTGTACCATAATACACGATTACGGTTTTATTCAAAACAATTTCAGTCCCATACACTTCTTTATTCTTCCAATATTTCTCTATTCCAGTAACAAATTCTGAATGATTTTTTCCCTTACATTTTATTTGGTCTTGAATTTCCAAACATTGCTGGAGGACATCATCTAACTGAATTTTTAAGGTCTCTAAACTATGGCTTTCCTTCTTTAGGAGAGTCATTTATTTATTTATTTATTTGAAACTGAGTTTTGCTCTTTTGCCCAGGCTGGAGAGCAGTGGCTCCATCTCGGCGCACTGCAACCTCTGCCTTCTGGTTTGAAGTGATTTTCCTGCCTCAGCCTCCCAAGTGGCTGGGATTACGGGCGCCCGCCACCACGTCGGGCTAAGTTGTGTATTTTTAATAGAGATGGGGTTTCACCGTGTTGGCCAGGCTGGTCTCGAGCTCTTGACCTCATGATCCGTCCGCCTTGGCCTCCCAAAGTACTGGGATTACAGGTGTGAGCCACCACGCCCGGCCTAGCAGCCTATCTTTTAATCTAGTCTTTTGTTTTGAATTCTCTCTGTTCCTTATAACGGGAAACGCTATATTTGCACTCTAGGTTTGTTTTTTCGTTGTGGTGGTGGTTTTTTGTTTGTTTGTTTTTGAGACAGAGTTTTGTGCTTGTTGCCCAGGCTGGAGTGTAACGGCGCTATCTCAGCTCACCCCAAGCTCCGCCTGCCAGGTTCACGCGATTCTTCTGCTTCCGTCTCCCGAGTAGCTGGGATTGCAGGCATGGGCCACCACGCCAAACTAATTTTTGTATTTTTAGTAGAGATGGGTTTCTCCATGTTGGTCAGACTAGTCTCAAACTCCTGACCTTAGGTGATTCACCCACCTCGGCCTCCCAAAATGCAGGGATTAGAAGCGTGAGCCACCCCACCCACCTGGGTTTTGTTTGTTTGTCTGTTTTTTAATGAAAAAACAACAACAAAAGAAAACCTAGCTCTTAAAGAAGGTATCAGGTGATTTCCGTTAGAAATATAAAAGACAGAAAATCTTTAAAAAAAAATTTAGTAATGTAATCCCAGCTCTTAGAGAGGCAGAGGCGGGAAAATAGCTTGAGCCCAGGAGTTTGAGACCTGCCTGGGCAATATGGCGAGACCCCGTTCTCCACAAAAAGGAAAAAAAAAAAAAATTAAGTAAATACACAATTTCCTCATGTGGTATTCAATAAAATTGAACATTTGTTCATCTATGATATATTAATCTACTCTCTTATTTTATTTCTAAAAGAGCCACATGATTTTTTTGAAACTTTCCCGGTGGCTTATTTTACATTCTGTTGTTTCTTGATGTTTTTCGTTCTATCTATCATGTCTTTAAACATTTAAAATATAGGTAAGGGTTTAAATTGTTAATCAAATGAGCTCTGCATCTGAAGTTTTGGGGGATATATTTCTGCTGTTTATTGTTTGTGCTGATTTGCATTAACAGTGGCTTATTTTATTATTTATTTTGTGATTTTTAAGTTTTGGACTTCTGTTTGGCTCATCTTCATCTGCAGGGAATGTAAGGGAACTGGGATCTCCAGAAGACGTTTGCTCAGTTTCTAATTTCAGGGTGTATTGAATAAATATTTTGAGCAATCTTTTTCGCTGGAAATTTCTTTTCATTCCAGTCCTCCTGAGAATACCCTGTTTTGATTATGCTTCATTGCCACTCTCCTTGGAAGATGTACCTCATTCCGTGCGCATTTCGATATGCAGAAGTGTGTTGGACAGTAGGGTCCTAAATTATTTCATTCTTCCTTTGTTTATTCATTATGCAAGCAGTCTTCTAAGTAGGCACTGTGAGTAAAAAACTCCACGAGACCTAGTTTCCATCCTCAAAAAATATTGTCTTTGGTAGGGAAGAAAGTAAATAAACCTTAATATAGCTCTTGGAGGAGAGTCCTTGAGTAAGTGGTCAAATAAATTTGTTGCAAATAAATACTTTCAGTCACTATGTTTCAAGAATTATCATTTGTATGCATTGAAGACAACTTCTACAGCTATTTGTCTTCAAAAAAGTTTGTTTCTTTGTATTTTGAAGAATTTTGGCCTTAAAATTTCCAGTTTATTTTCAGGCATTCATATCCATTCTACTTGATTGGCGTTATAGTCCTCAATTGTTGTCTCTTCCAACTCTGAGGGAATTGTCATAAAGTGAATTGCTCAGAAATAAGTGTTTCCAAGCACTTTTTCACACACTTGTCTGGATCACATCTATCTGTTCTCTCAAGGGCTTTCTTTAGTCGCACCTAATGTTCCAAGGCAGGGGTGTGTCATTACTTGTACCTCTAGTGCTATTGCTTTTGACACATAGTCAAGGCTTCTCAATAGAAGTGTACTAATTATTATTATTATTATTTTGAGACGGAGTCTAGCTCTGTCGCCAGGCTGGAGTGCAGTGGCGCAATCTCAGCTCACTGCAACCTCCAAGTCCCTGGTTCAAGCGATTATCTAGCCTCAGCCTTGCGAGTAGCTGGGATTACAGGCACTCGCCACCACGCCCAGGTAATTTTTGTATTTTTAGTAGAAACGGGGTTTCATCATGTTGGCCAGGATGGTCTCGATCTTCTGACCTCGTAATCCGCCCGCCTCGGCCTCCCAAAGTGCTGGGATTACAGAAGTGAGCCACCTCACCCATCCGCGTATCCAATTTGAATTTCTTCGCACCCCCAAAGAGCAAATTCCTTCACTAACAGACAAAAGGGGCGGGGACTCAGGCGTTGAGGATTCTGGGCATTGTAGTTCCAACGCTCCGGCTGCGCAGGCGCAATGCCCTGCCTGGAGGCCAGCCCCGCTGAGCCGCCGCCATTGCTGGAAGCGTTCCCGCCTTGCTCTGCGAGTGCCCTCAGTTGTCCTCAGTTCGGCCGCCAGGTACTCGATGTCCCAGGCGCCTGGCCTCGATAGCCCGCCGCCCCTCCCTTGGCGCTTGGCTCTCGACGGCGTCCGGGGCGTGGCCGTTCCCTCGAGAGCCCCGTCCCTGAGCGGACCCGCCCACCTCTGAGAGGTGATTGGGGCTGGGCCTCCTTCCCGAGTGTGGGCTCCATCTCCGGCCGGTCTCCCTCATAGGTCGGGCCGAGTGCCCTCTGCGGCCTCCTAGCCCGGGTCCGAACCCTGGAACCTCCTTCCTGGCGGACCTGTAGGCGCTGGGGTTAAAGAGAGCCAGGCGCGGGATGTGAGCTGGGATTTGAGTAGGGCGGGCGGGCCCCTTACCTGACTTTTCCTGTCTTCCCAGCCCCGCGCCTTGCTGGCCGAGGAGGGGATCCTCGGAGTGGGTAGAGGAGAGCAGTTAGGAAAAGAAGGCGAGGTTGACAGAAGCATGTCCCTCCTGGCTTCTGAACTGGCAGGGATGGAACTAGGTTTCACATCAGGGGATCTGCGCTACACTCTCGGTTATCGACGCAGCTTCTGAAATGTAGCATTTCACATACTGTAATCACCTTTTAATCACTTGTCACTCCCTGACATAAGGATGGTATTATTGCATTGGTTGGGAAATGCTGGACTAGTACATTGTGCTGAGATTCTTAACAAAAACATAGACCTTTCATTATTTGTAAATACACTGGCCAAGGAAGCAAAACAAGTAAAGTTTCTCCCTAAGTCTCTGGACACTTTTGCAATAGTCCGAAAGACGGAGCTTGTAAATATCTAGGGAAATTATAACTGGGGAAATATGGGCCTAGATACCTTCCGCATAATGACAAAGGGGACAGTAGAAACATAGTGTGGTTACTGTCAAGTACTAATAGCTGATTCATAGTGCTCAAGTGACTTGCCTGTAGTCACAGTTCTACAGTAGCCAAACCAGGGTTAAAACCTGGAGATGTGGCCAGCCACTCTGGGATTTTATTCCTATTCCAGACTCCTATGTATATGTAGATACTTACTTTTGTCTACTTGGAAAGTACAGAAAAGCAGAAAGAATGGTAAACATCACAGCCCGAGGTCTCAGAGGTGTCAGTAGAGTTTTGGCTTACTCACTTGCCGTCTTTTTTTCTCTGCATTATATTTACATGATTGAGATCAAGCTGAATATATTAAATGTTAAATATTGTTCATTCTAATTATAAAATAAAACAAGGTGTTTATTGCAGTTTGGTTGTTAAACTTATGTTACTAGCATAATCTACATGAAGTATTGCCAAGGAGTTTATTAATATTTACAAATATTTTTTAAATGATGACTCAGGTCATTCTTGACAAATGTTAAAGATGAAGAAAATCATTACTCTAGACCCTTGGAATTGAGAATGCCTCATGTTGCTCTTTGTAGGTCTGCTTTAATGTTTGTGGGTTTGAGGAGGGACAATATTATTATTCTTGGCTCATTTTTTTTTCTTTGCAACCTTGCAAAACTGGATATCTTAACTTGCGATTCAGTGTATGGGCTTGGGAGGAAGAGTAACTTTTCAAGCTCCCTGAAATAACATGCAACATCATATATGCATGTGCATTATTCTGTGGACAAGGTCAGATTCTCAGATGGGTCCATACCCCGCAAAAAGTTAAGATTTACTGATATGCATAGATTGTGTAGTGGTGAAATCAGGGCTTTCAGGGTATCCATCCCCAGAATAATGTACATTATACCCATTAAGTAATTCCTCATTCTCCACTCCCCTCCCACTCCTTCACCTTTCAGAATCCCTATTGAGTATCAGGACAATATTTCTTTTTTTTTTTTTTTTGAGACGGAGTTTCGCTCTCGTTACCCAGGCTGGAGTGCAATGGCGCGATCTCGGCTCACCGCAACCTCCGCCTCCTGGGTTCAGGCAATTCTCCTGCCTCAGCCTCCTGAGTAGCTGGGATTACAGGCACGTGCCACCATGCCCAGCTGATTTTTTGTATTTTTAGTAGAGACGGGGTTTCACCATGTTGACCAGGATGGTCTCTATCTCTTGACCTTGTGATCCACCCGCCTCGGCCTCCCAAAGTGCTGGGATTACAGGCGTGAGCCACTGCGCCCGGCCAGGACAATATTTCTTAAATATTACAATATTTCATAAATGTTTTAAAACTAAAACAGTATGTAATTTAACACATAATATGTTAACATGGTACATTAAACTAAATATTTCTTAAGGTGTACTTGTTCAAGCTATATATATCTGTGCCTCACATCTATAGATCCTGATTTCTATCTTGGATGGAGCCAAAGAATTTCCTCTTTAATAAGCATATCCATTGAGTTTTTGGCATTCTCAGATTTGAGACCCCTCTAATTATACATGGGGTGTTTTCATTAGAAAACAGGAGTCATAATTTTCATTACATTTGCAAAAGACTCTATGAAAAAAAATCTAGAGAACTACTGTATAAGGCAAAACCACTTACTGGTTACCTTGAGGCTTCAAAACAGGTATCCCCTCATACTATTCATTCTTTACGTCTTTTATTTCCACACTGCACTGCTTTCCTCCCTCAACTTCTCATTGTTTCTCTTCCACCAAAACCTTTTCATTGTGCCTAGGAAAACCCCAGTGTCCTGGAACAGACCACTCTACATTTTTAAGATATTCACTTTTTTTTTTTTTTTTGAGACAGAGTTTTGCTCTGTCACCCAGGCTAGAGTGCAACAGCGTGATCTTGGCTCACTGCAGCCTCCACCTCCCAGGTTCAAGCAATTCTCATGCCTCAGCCTCCCGAGTAGCTGGGACTATAGGCACGTGCCACCACGCCTGGCTAATTTTTTTGTATTTTTAGTAGAGATGAGTTTTCACCCTGTTGGCCAGGCTGGTCTCGAACTCCTGACATCAGTGATCTGCCTGCCTCAGCCTCCCAAGTGCTGGGATTATAGCTGTGAGCCACTGTGCCCAGCCAAGATATTCACATATTTTCTTGATTTAACTAAACCCTGGTCTCCTCTTTGAGTTAGTAAATTAGTCTGACAATAAATTTCAGTACACGCATGTCTATTTAATTTTTGTGTCCCTAATATTCTTTGCATTCATGATAACCTTACTTTATATATTAGTATTCTTGTTTTTCAAAGAATAATGGTTAAGTACTTCAAGTATCTTTTCAGATGAGCTTCTGATTGTTAGACACTGTAAGGTTAGATTAAGTTCTACTATGTTTATTGAGCAAAGCTACTGAATCTTATGAGAAGCAAGGTACACATTCAGGGAAGGAGCAGATTCCACATGTTTAAGCATAGCAAAGACCCTAAGTGGAGGACCATATAAATTGCTTATAACACTTTTTGCACAAGGTAAGAGTTTCTCAAAAACTCAGTACTTATTTTGTCACTGCCCTTTTATTCATGAGGCTAATATCACCATCCTAGAAAAATTTATATTAACAGCTAATATCACCATCCTAGAAAAATGTATATTAACAATCTGTACCATTTGATATCCTGCATCAGGCACTCCTGGTTCTTGAACCAAGCTCAGCCTCAGCAAGGCCATAGATATCATTAGCCAAAGGTAGAAAAGCTGTGACCAAGCATCCCTGGAAAAGATCTCTGCCACTCTATTCTCCCATATTTTACAACCTATTCTCCCATAGAGTAAAACTTTTACTAGGTATATGCTTTTTTTCAGTATGAAAAGACTATAGCTTAATGCTTTGTGCACCTAATTTCATGTCTCTTCTGTTATTATACCTGCTTCCTTTTTATTGAAGTTTGCCTGATATAGAAAGGATAAAGATCTATTTGAATATCAGATTGGGAGTGGGTAAGTCAAGATTTCCAATATCATTTAAATTTTGAAGTTGTAGTGTTCTCTTTACATGAAACAGATCTCCTAAAATGTTAGGAAATTGACTTCGTGGAAAAGGCAAGAAAAGATTCTTGGAATATTTGTTAGATGAGTGGCAAAGAAAGATTGAAGTATTTTCTTGTACTTCACATAGCATATTGATTCAGTGGAAAAGGTGTGTGGATTTTGGAATTAGATTGATTTGGAGTTATGTATCTGCATGGCCTTGGGTAGTTTAATTTTTCTAGGCCTCAGTTTCCTCATCTATGGAATGGGAATATTATTCCTATTAGGTTAATGTGAAAATAAAATGAGAAAGTATTTTTAAAATTCTTTGTACAATGGCTAGTCTGTTAGTTGTGACTATAGTTAACAGTGCCGAAATCTCAAACTCTGCAGGAGCAAGGGTCTTTGTCCCTCACTGATCTTAAGGGTTACTCTTGTGCTTCCTTAGGGAGGTCATGCTCACTTGTATGTCAGGATTCTAACTTGGCGTGTCTGAAATTCCCAAGGCAGGATTGTTTTTCATGGCTTATTTCTCTTCCTTAGGTATGTCTTTGCAAAACGCCACTCTTTCCGGAGAGGGAAACACAGAGGCAGAGATTATGGCTGCTGTGTTTTTTTCAGTTGGACCTTTGGTAAGTTGGGATTCCCTGTTTTTGACCTACTGTCTTGGTTTGAGAGTATGTTTACTTCTCCTGAAGGCTTGTGACTTCTCTATTTCACCGACACCCCTTCTGGGAACTCAACTAAATAGACCCATGAAAATTGGGTTCACAGTAAAGACTGTAAACTATAGAGGGATGCAGTATTCTTACTTAACCAAATATCAGGATACATGATCTTTCAAAAAATATCTGAGCTGTCGTTAGTTATGACAGGCATCTTTAATTTTGATATTAAATTTGTATTGTTCCCAGGAAATATCAGTTATTTATGGGACAGCAGAATGGAATATTTTTTAATTGGGAAATTTTATTTAGGATATTTTGGGGAAAATATATGTACACAAACACATATCCCAGCCCTAATTCATAGGAACAATTTCCCTTGTGCCATTCTCAGTGATCTCTTTTCTACCCATAAAGAAGTGATCAGGCTTAATAGATGACAGTGAGAGAAAGAATATGTTTAAGACAGTGCTTGGCTGTAGAGAAAACATAAAAAAGTAATAATGACATTACTTAGATGAATAGTAGTTGCTTATCAGTATGATAAAGATGTTGAGTGCTGTGTAAAGAAAGAAATGGGATGTTAGTGTGGGCTAAACTGGTCACAGAAAGCCCGTGAGGACAGTTAGATTTAAGCTGGTACTGAATTACAAGTGGGATTTTAATTGTCATAAAGTGTTTGTGAAAATACTTCAGGTGAGAAAGCGGTTTAAGGGCAAGGCTTCAGAGGCAGAGAACAGTGGGTGAGTTTGTGATTCAAGTTGGAAAGTTGTGACAGATAGGGCTGGAAATTAGATATTTAAGATGAATCTTTTAATGTTTCCCTGAAGACATTTAAATGTGTATGTATGTTTGAGTGTACTTGGGATTAGTATTAATGTGATACAAGCTGTGTTTTAGCAGTGACTTTTAAAAATAGATTCAGAAGAAAAATAATACCAACAAATGTAATTTGTTATAGTAATGGTAGTAACTCGTGATTGTGGTCTTTTATTCTTTGTAGCCAGAACATGCAACATGTAAATAATTCTTAAAACATACCCTTGAAAAGATAAATAAAACCAAAATGTTGCAATTGATCACTAGGTATAGTTATTTGTCTAGTCATATATCACCCTATCAATCTGTCTCCATCAGAGATGGAGGATTCACATTGGCGTTAATTTTCTAGAAACTGAATATATGTGCTCTTTTTAGACAACAACTTGTTGAGGGAGAGTTAGCATAACATTTTTCCTAATGATCTTCAAGTATGTAGCTCTATTATCCATGATTTTTTTAAATGGCACAAAATCTAAAATGGATAACTACTACTAGAAAGTGAAGTAAAATTTCATTTCATTTATTAAATTAGGCCCTCATGGGCTGGGCATGGTGGCTTATGCCTATAATCCTGGTAGCACTTCGGGAGGCCGAGGTGGGCGTATTGCCTGAGCCCAGGAGTTCGAGACCAACCTGGGCAAAATGGAGAAACTCTCTCTCTACAAAAAAACAAACATACAAACAAACAAACATACAGTTAGCCGGGTGTGGTGGCGTGTGCCTGTAGTCCTAGCTACCCTGGAGGCTGAGATAAGAGAATTGCTTGAACCTGAGAGGCAGAGGTTGCAGTGAGCCATGATCGCCCCACTGTCCTCCAACCTGGCCAGTGATAGAGCAAGAGACTCTTATCTCAAAAAAAAAAAAAAAAAAATCAGGCCCTCATGGAGATAGTTTCTAAGTTTTGGAAGAAAACAATGTTATAAGAGGTTGCTGAAATATTTCCTGAGTGACTACTGAGCTATATCCCCTCACTAAACACTGTAATGATTTTCAGTTGTAGAAAACAGTGTTAGTAGGTTTTGAATATTATTCCCGAGCAAATTAGATACTTTCTGAGAAATAGATTTCATCCCAGTATGAAAAGCAGAATTATGTAGTGTCTGAAGGCCCCTTATTATAAGTTTATTTTTGTTTTGATAGGTTCTTTGTTAAAAGCAGTTATATTTCAGTCTTATATGTATTTGTCATTGCCTCAAAGTGAAAGATTATGATTGCATATTACATTGGGACTTTCATTTCAGCCCTAAGTAAAACAGTAGAAGAGGCCATCCCATATACACTGCATCCACAGTAGATTGGTGGTGCCTGTTGAGGCTGTGCTATAGGTCATAGGCAGTCTGTCACTGAGTGATCTTATCCTGTATCCCATCAGAGCCCTGAAGTTACCAAGCCAGATGAAGATCTTCACCTTCAGGCAGAAGAAACAGAATTGGTAAAGGTAATATCTACCATTGTAGGTATGAGGAATACAGAGAAAATTGCCTATTTTACTGTCTCTAATTCTCAATGTTGCCAGTTAATTGCAAGTTCACAGTGATTATTTGATTGGTATGGTAGCCCCAGGGCTGGTGGCATCAATTTAACAGATTTCATTTCTCTCAGAGGTGGCAGCTCTAATCTAGCCAGATAGTCACATCATAATTACTAATGATCAAATATCCTTTCTTCACATAGTCTGATGCTTGTGCTGCATTGTAAGACCCAAATACTGTGCCATTAAAAAAATACCAAGAGTACATTCAACATTGTGGAAATAGCCTTAAGATGAGTTTAAATTGGTTTAGATATTTTATTTCATTATATTTCTTAAGCTTATTTGTGAGTACTGAATCCACTTGATTTTTCCAGAAAAAATAAAAATCAGAAACTTTTTGTCATAAGAAAAAGTATCCAAAACTTAGAAATAAGGCAAAAGATAAACATAGGGCATTTTAGGGTCATATTAGACTATTGTCTTAACAAGCCTGTCTAAGGGTTGTCCGACATAGCAGGGAAGGGTTATGTTGTTGCCTCAAAGTGAAAGATTATGATTGCATGTTACATTGGGACTTTCATTTCAGCCCTAAGTAAAACAGTAGAAGAGGCCATCCCATATACACTGCATCCACAGTAGATTGGTGGATTTACTATTAATATTCAGATCCTAAAAGTTAGATATTAACTTGTAGAAGATTGAAACATTGCAATTATTTTTGCTAGGATAAAAAATGATCCCTAGAGTTATGTTATTACTGTCCTGTAGGACATTAACCAGGTTTGTATCTAATTTTGCAGTCTTATTGCAGCATTCCTTTTTCTACTATCTATACACTGGTTTCTTGCATCTCCTTTAAACCTGTCTTGTCAAGCTGCTGATCCCTCATTAATGACTTAAGTAAATCTTTGACAAGAATTCACTATGCTTTTAAGAGAATTATGTTTTTAAGTTTTTTAAAATTATCCTTTGAAAGACGGTTTTATTCCAGAGATGTTTTGTGTAAAATGTGGTTTTTACTTTTGCTTCTATGAGAAAATACATTCTGAGATTCAGTCTTATGTGTACTATTTTTGAAATGATTT